TATTGAGTTTTCACAAATCAGAAAAAAGTATCACAAACCCCAAACATGGTTCTAAACATTCTATTTGAAGAGAAGAATAATCTATTCCAGGTTTGAAGTGTCTAGCTGTAGTAGTTTTTTAATTAGAGCAGATCTATGGTGATCCAGATGCCAAAAAATGGTCAAAAACTAACTTTATTGAGTTTTCACAAATCGGGAAAAAGTTTCACAAATCACAAACATGGTTCCAAATATTCTGCTATTAGAGCAGAATAATCTATTCAAGGTTTGATGAGTCTAGGTGTTGTAGTTTTTAAATTAGAGCAGTTTTAGTGTGATCCAGATGCCAAAAATAGTGACTATCAAACTTTCTTGAGTTTTCACAAATCAGACAAAGGTTTCACAAATCCCAAACATGGTTCTAAATATTCTGCTTGAAGAGAAGAATAATCTATTCCAGGTTTGAAGTGTCTAGCTGTAGTAGTTGTTTAATTAGAGCAGATCTATGGTGATCCAGATGCCAAAAAATGGTCAAAAACTAACTTTATTGAGTTTTCACAAATCAGGAAAAAGTTTCACAAATCCCAAACATGGTTATAAATATTCTGCTATTAGAGCAGAATAATCTAGTCCAGGTTTGAGGTGTCTAAGTGTTGTAGATTTGGAATTAGACCAGTTCTAGTGTGATTAAGATGCAAAAAAGTGGTAAAATCAACATTTATTGAAGTTTCACAAATCCCAAACATGGTTCTAAATATTCTGCTATTAGAGCAGAATAATCTAGTCCAGGTTTGAAGTGTCTAGGAGTTGTAGTTTTTTAAATTAGAGTAAATCTATGGTGATCCAGATGCAAAAAAGTGGTAAAATCAACCTTTGTTGAAGTTTCACAAATCGGATAAAAGTTTCACAAATCCCAAACATGGTTTTAAATATTCTGCTATTAGAGAAGAATAATCTAGTCCAGGTTTGAAGTGTCTAGGTGTAGTAGTTTTTAAACTAGAGTTGATTAAAGATGTGGAAAGTAGTGAAATCGCCCTTTAGCTATTGGAAGCTAGAATTGGAAACCAACTTCAGCTTCGTCTCTGTTCTCCGGTCCCGCCAACACTCCGCTCCACAATGATCCAGTCCTTTTTTATCCCTAATCCCTCCGCGGTTCCAATGTTGTGATTGGATGCTCACTGCTTGTCAGGAAGAAAGGAGTGTTGTGTTGAGGCTGAAAACAGGACCACAAGCAATAATTAGTCAATATTGGGTAATTTGTTAATAAATGGTGGAGGTGCAGGATCCCCGCAGTCAGACCAGACAGACCGCTGTTTCTCTCCCCACTCTGCGTCGCTCACTACGGGTCACAGTGTTCCAAACCCACCGCTACTTTAACCACACATGATGGGGGTGCCGTGCGGCGACACAGACGGAAGCTTATCTTAGCTCTTTATCCTTCCTATAGCACACAACACGACCCACCTTTTGGTTCCGGTAACCTGAGGCTGTCGAACCTAGGAAATACTGATACATGGAGCAGCACAGAGTGGAGCCACCATGTCGCCTTCTTGAAAACAGATCCGGTGCTGAAACTGCATAACGGCTTTTAGAAGCTGGTTTCCGTTTTCTCTAAAATCAACCCGTTCAACCCTCTGCATCAGGTGAGCTTGTAATTCTCAAATCGAGCAGCTCTTAAACTACAAATAGGAGTTTTAAAATGTGAGCATTGCGCAAATGTGTCACATAGAAGTGAGTTGCTGAGGCGGCCATAGATGGTGCAGATCAACACCGGGTATATGATCAACATTTTCACGAAAGTGTTAGTCTGTCATAATAAATTATTCGGTATAAAAGAATAATAGAATAAATATATGAGGATCATGGACTTAACCGCAAATGTAGCAGTAGCAGGATGCGGTTTCAAAACAAAATGTAATAGGTTTTCTTTGTCCAGTAATCTAATATATTCCCATAGATTATATTAGAACAGTTTAATTTTTTACATTAACAGTTTGCCTTAAAATATAATTTAAATATATCCCTCTCGTTTTAATTTTTTTTTTAAATCCTCAAATTTTTTTGTTACTGTTAATTTTCTTAGCTTTAATGAGATTCCTGTTTTGTAATGTTGTTGTTAATATAGTATTTCTTATTCTGTTTCAGAATCCATCTTTATAACATAAATCCAGTTCTTGGAATTCAAGTCAAGTTTATTTGTAAAGCATATTTCCGCAACAAAGTAGTTCAAAGTTCTTCATATGATAAAAACACAGAGTAATCAGTTATGAAATATGCATTAAATATTGCATTTTGTCAAATGCCATAATCTAAATACTCAAGAATAATCATAATCAAATATATATATTTTCAAGATTATAATCAATGCTCTAAACAGGTGAGTTTTTAGCCTTGATTTAAAGGAACTCAGTGTTTCAACAGTTTTCTGGAAGTTTGTTCCAGATTAGAGGAGCATAAAAACTGAATGCTGCTTTTCCACGCTGTTCTGTGGATGCAGAGTAGATCAGAAAACGAAAATCTCAGTGGTCTGGAAGGTTGATACAATGATAACTATTCTCTGAGAGCCAGTGTAAGGACATTAGAAGTGGGATGATGTGCTCTGTCTTCCTAGTTTTAGTGAGAATGCAAACATAAGTGTTCTGGATCAGCTGGAACTGTCTGATTTTCTTAGGAGAGACTGTTGCAGTAATCAATAAATCTAAACTCTTGGATGAGTTTTTCTAGAGCTTGCTGGGACTTTACTCCTTTAGACCTGGAAATGTTTTCCAGGTGACAGAAGACTGACTATGTAACTGTCTTCATGTGCTTCAGGTCTGACTCTACCACGTCACCCAGATTACAGGCTGGTACCTAGCTGTAATAACTGAAGCTGTGAAGAGACTCTAGATCATTCCTCTTTGGAGCCAAAGATAATTACTTCAGTTTTGTTTCTGTTCAGTTGGAAAAAGTTATGTCACCTCAACCCATTGATTTCTTTTCTTTCAGTAAAAATGTTACAATGGGAGAAAAATTGTGAGAAATCAAGTGGACAAAAAATGCTCCAGAGAGGTCAATTTACCTCTCAACACTGACTTCAATTCAGAAGATGCTGGGAATATTTCGTGGACGAAGGAAGTTCCTGGCAGCCTCTCTTGTCTTGTTTTTCATCCCCACACTCACCTGGCTTTACCTGTCAATTGGAAATTTTCAAGGTAAGAGTGAATATTTATACCCTTCCTCTTCCATACCCCTTTCAGCCAGCCCTGCAAGGATAAACAAGCGTAAAGAATGGATGGAAGATAAAAGTGCCAATTGAACGAAAGTTTTACAAATGAGATGTGTGGTGATGCAAGTTTATTTTATTTTTAAGCTTTTGTACAAAGCAGCCTAAAGTTGTTACTTTGGTACTTACTAGTTAAGTTTTATCTACTTTGCTCATTATGTCAACTAGCTAAGGAAAACAATCTCAGGCTGGAAAGGTTTCCTTCTTGTTTCCTCTATTTTTAGGAATAATTGTCCTTGCTATTTCAAAGCTCTCTCTTTATCTTTCTTCTCTCTTCCTCTTCTCTTTGTTCAGCTCTACTGTCTGTATTCTTTATTGTTTATTTGCAGTTTATTCTGCAAATGTTTCTGTTTATCTGAAAGCCTCTCTTTTTTTAAACAAAATGTTTTTTTGTTGTTGCTTTTTTTGATGTCATCTACAATTGACATTTTACAATACTTTTCTTTTGAACAGCTTGGTACACAGCTCCACCCTTTTACATTATATACTAATGTTTATATATTTTCTTTCTTTATTTTCCAAATAATCCATTGAACAATCTGTTTGTCACTGTAATTGCTGGAGGAAAGAAAGCTTCACCAGCATTATTGAGCAAGAAATGATTGAAACATTGCAAATACTCTTCTAGATGAAATAACAAAGAAATCTTCCACTGATGTTTTAGATCTGTGCAATAACAACAGTTTTAAGTGGTCATCAGAAACAGTTTTATTGTCTGTAGTGTGTTTTGCTATATCAGTTAAACAATGGTCAAAATTTTGGGCTACGAAAGCTTTATTGTCTCCCTTACCTAAGACTCTTTTTGCTGAACGTCATTCCTGTTTAGTTTTTGGCCTCCTGTAAAATAAATTGATCTGTCCTATAATCCAACAGTGAAGTCCTTACCCCTATCTTCATTGGAAGCACAGTCACCTCCACCACTGGGTGACGCTAATGCACGACTGGCCTTAGAGCTGAGAATCCGAGCGGTGGAAGAGGAAAACAGGGCCCTGCGCCAGGAGCTCAGTCGTCCTGTCAGGAACTCGTCTGCTTCCTATACAAACCTCACAAGCAAAGGAAACCAGAGCCGAACTCATTTAGAAGAAGGCACCAGTAACAATGATGGACAAAAGAACGCTGCTGTGGGGAACAACTCCAACTGTTTACAACATCAGTTAGTGGATAAGTGTGAGGTGAGATAAGTCTTTGGTTTCCCTCAGGCCCATCACTCTAAATATGCCTATATTAAATCATTAGTGGTTACTGAAGCAGGAATAAAATTACAGCATTAAGAACTGTATTCAGATTCAAATAATCTTTATTGACATTCAACATAATATCAGAGATGCACTGCAGAATGAAATTACAATGCATATTAAGTCACAAACAGAAACTAGCTGGATAAACTGTAAAATAATATAAAAAGAAGAATAGAAGAATAATATAGAATAAAACAGAATAAAACCCAAATTAAAAAAAGGGGAGGTTGTATAAATATAAGTGCACACGTTTGCAATCTGTGCAAGAAATGTATCAGGAATAATATGTGCAAAACAATCAAAAACAGGTAAATAATATTATGGTCCTGGATTATTTGGAGTAATTCAAAGGCCTGATGGAAATTGGGTAGAAGGTGTTGCAGTACCTTACTGTTCTACATGACTGACTGCAGGATATTCTGCCAGAGGATAGGAGAGAGAACAGTCCACTACAAGGGTGAAAGGGATTCTTGTCCTCAACAGATATCGTTGCCACCCACTGTACCCAGTGGGTGGCAATGTGACCTCAATCACTTTTTCACCTGGCCTCACCACTCTCCCCAGTGTCTTCCTGTGTGAGGCACTGCTGCTCTCATGCCTCTGAAAGATGCTGCTGGTAAGCACACTCTCAATGGTGCCTCTGTAAAAAGCAATAAAGATTTATGGGCTGAAGTGTGCTCTCTTAAGTGCCTGCACAGAAAGTGCCGGCAACGTGGGCCCTTTTGACAGGGAAGCTGATGTGCAGCGACCAGGTGAGAGTGTCTGCTATGTGGACCCTGAGGAACTGTGTGTGACAATCTCCACAGCAGTATTCTGGATGTTGAACAGGGTGTCCACATGCCGTTTCCTCCTGAAGTCTATCAGCAGTTCTTTGGTTTTTCCCACATTCAGAAACAGGTTGTTATTGCTGTACCATTCTACAAAAAGTTTCACCTCCTCTCTGTAGTATTTCTCACTGTCCTGGATGAGACCCACCACTGTGTTAACCGCATACTTAATGATATAATTTATATTGTAAATTTTTTGTGACAGACCAGGACAAACTACAAGTTTTGTTTTTGTTTTGTTTTATATTTTTTATAAAAATGTGAAAAGTGTGGGATGGTTATCTATTCAGGCTATTTTCCCCTAAATTAAATCACTGCCTTCATGATTCTTTTAGTTCAAAAACACACCTGTGTATATGAGTTTTATTTTCTCATTTTTTTTTATGTGGTCTGTCTGGCTGGGTGGCACTTTTTATTAAAATTATTGGCCGAGTGTTAAAGTGAGGCCCAAAAGATTTGCTTTTACAAGCGAGCAATACAGTTTTCAGCATGATGCTCTGCTTCATATATACACTGCCTGGCCAAAAAAAAACAACAACTTGCCAAACTCTAATATTTTGTTGGACTGCCTTTAGCTTTCATTATGCCACACATTTGCTGTGTCATTGTTTAGATAAGCTTCTGCAGTATCACAAGAGTTATTTCCATCCAGTGCTGCATTAATGTTTTACCAAGATCTTGGATTGATTATGGTAGAGTCTGACCACTGCACAAAGCTTTCTCCAGCACATCCCAAATATTTTGGCATCGTCATCTTGTAATATACCCATGCCATCTGGGAAGAAAAAAATGGAATAACTTGGTCATTCAGTATATTCTGGTAGTCAGCTGACCTCATTCTTTGAGCACATACTGTTGCTGAAACTAAACCTGACCAACTGCAGAAAGCAAAAATCATAGCACTGGATGCACAGGCTTGTACAATAGATACTTGGCATGATGGGTTCATCACTCCACCTGCCTCTCTTCTTACCCTAATGCACCCATCACTCTGGAACTGGGTAAATCTGGATTCATCAGATGACATGACCTTCCTCCAATGCTCCAGAGTTAAACCTTTATGCTTCCTAGAAAATTGAAGCCTTTTTTCTGGTTAGCCTCACTGATTGATGGTTTTCTTAAGGCTACACAGCTGTTCAGTCCCAATCCCTTGAGATCCCTTCACATAATGTGTGTGGAAATGCTCTTACTTTCATTGTTAAACATAGCCTGGAGTTCTACTGTTGTTTTTTATTTATTTATTTTTTTTATTTGATTTTCCTAAACTTTTAAGTGACTGCCGATCACGATCATTGAGGATTTTCTTCTAGCCACATTTCTTCCTCAAAGATGATGGGTCCCCACTACTCTAGTTTTTAATAATGTGTTGGACAGTTCTTAACCCAATTTTAATAGTATCTGCATTCTCCTTTGATAATTTCTTTGCTTGATCCATGCCACTGATTTGGACCCTTCTCAAACAGACCGACATCTTTTCCACAACCATAGGATTTATCTTTCGACATGTTTAAGAAATGAGAGTACTCATTGCACCAGTTGGTTTTAAATAACTTGTTGCCAGCTGAAACATAATCAGCCTCCTAATTATCAATAGGAGGCTGGTACCTTAGTTAAATCAAGGTGGTGACTTTTTGGTGGGGGGCAGGCAGTGTCCTGGCCAAAACAAAAAAAAAAGCTAAACCGAAATTGCTTTGGGTTTATTTCAAATATAATAGACACACAGATGAAAAAGACAGGGAAGAACGTGAGGCAAACGGTTTAAAGCAGGGGTCTCAAATTCAATTTACCCGGGGGCCACTGTAGGCAGAGTCTGGGTGAGGCTGGGCCACATAAAGGATTCCACAAAAAACATTTAAAAAATATCCTCAAATGTCATCAACATTTAATTATTTATCCAATACATGAACTGCAGGCTTTGGCTTTGACAAAGACATGATGAGGGTGTGACAAAATTTAGGGTGCGTACACACTGCAGCCTGAAGTGACCCAATTCCGATTTTTTTGTCAAATCAGATTTTTTTTTCCCCGGGCCGTTCACACTGCCACACATGTATGTGTTCTGCAAACTACCTGAAAGTGTCCCGCAAGCGCAGTAGAGGGCGGAAAAGCGTCAGTGTTGTCAGTGTTCTGCTAAGCGTCATAAAAAGAAGTAGTGCTCGGTGTTTGCTGAAGTAAACATGGAGGCTAACGTTGGAGCTTAGCTTACATATTTGAAGTTGTTGTCCAACCGGAGTAGCATATTAACAACTTAATCCTCATTATAGTTCGTCATAGTTGTTTTTCTTCCCATTTGCGCGTATCAGGACGCAGAATTTGTTGAGTATCAGTGACGTTCAGATGAATGAGGCCTGGACGTTAGGTCGCGTTTGAATCGGATACGAATCAGATACGTATTTGATTCTTTTCACATTCGAAAAGAATCCGATCTGTGCTGTTCAGACTGTCATGAAAAGATCAGATACAGGTCGCATTACGTCAAAAAAAAAAAAAAAAATCGGAATTGAGTCACTTTAGGGTGCAATATGAACGCACCCTAAGTTTATTCCACTTGGCGTCGCTCTTGTTCTACGTTTCACAGAAGTCTTTAGCCAGCTAGCAATGTATGGAGAATGTCTCGACGCGTGACGTCATTACCGCTTCTGCTTGTCGCAACAGCGTGGCGATGACCGGTAGCAGTCGCTTTTTTCTGCGTTTGATTGTGGCATTTGTTAATGGTAGAAAGTACCGGAATGGCGACTGCAGGGAAGGGAAACTGGTACCAGACTGTTCCATCATCCGCTGGTCTATTGTTACAAGCGTAGTGTGCATGAAGTCTGTGTAGCTTAGCCTAGCACTGAATGTCAGCTATGACGAGGAACGGCTTGCGGGACTTCCTTCAGAGGTCTGCTCACCCTGTGGGCCATACTAATATTATACTGTCATATCACGGTGGGGGCCATGAGACATTGTCCCGCGGGCCGCAAGAATGAGACCTCTGGTTTAAAGGTAAAGAATGAGATATAGGAGTAGAGGAGATGGAAAGGATAGAAAAAAATACAAGTTAACACCCTAGAAGTCTGCTTCTACACCTGCAGAAAGAGAGGAACAAAAAAACAGAACCAAGAAACCACAGTGAAAAACTTATGCTTAAACAATAACAACTACATTACCAGAAATTTCATCGTACAAATTAAAGCAATATAAAATTAGAGACAAATGTAGCCTAACAGTGTATCTGAAAACACCTGAATCTTAAAAATAGGTGTGTGCAATCTAATCTGACAAGAAATGCATGTGTTCTGTGAAGGCTTTTCAGAAGTTTGCTATAGAACATTAGTGGAAACACAGCAGACAGGTCAGAGAGAATGTTGACACTCAGGATGTCATGTTTTAGATTCTATGTATGATTTTGTAGTTGATTGAACTGCTGCATGTTATTTTCGGCCCAATATGTTTCAAGTTAAGAGTTCAGAAAACTTTTTCAGACTAAACTACTATATTATTCTTTATTATAATTCCTCCCTTGGTGTTTAATGCAACTTCTTGACTGTATCTGCAACACCCTACCTGATGAAAATAACTATAGATGTTGACTCAGAACTGCAAGTTTTCCCCCATTCTTAACCATTCCAGCCTCTAGAATCGGATTTACATACTTTCAACACCAAAGGTATTGATGTTGAAAGTAAATAAATCCAATCAGTTTTTTTCATGGTTTTCTCTGTTCTCTCCCCAGACTATCCATGTGGCCATCGTATGTGCAGGTTACAACGCAAGTCGAGATGTTGTAACATTGGTGAAATCTGTCCTTTTCCACAGGTATGTCAACATTCCTTTACTTCAAGCCCCTCTGAATTCCCCTTTCTTAACCTAAAAAAATATTAAGATTTATGCTGCTCAAGATAGTTACAACATAAAGAGTCACTATTTGTGTAACTAAGGGGGCATGTTATGTTCATAAATCAATACTCAAGACCTTGAATATCAATCAATCAAATTTTATTTATATAGCACATTTCAGCAGCAAGACATTTCAAAGTGCTTTATATAGTAAAAAAACAGCATGTGACATTGAATAAACTACTGTTTATAAAGAAAGAGAAAGAGATTTAAAAAAAAAAAGATTAAAAAAGATAAAAACATTAAAACCCCTTTTAGGACTTTAGTTAAACGTCGTTTAACTGGGACTCTAACCCTCTGGGACTTTAGTCAAAAACGGTGTTTGACAAGGACTCCAACCTCTAGGACTTTAGTTAAACGCCGTTTAACTGGGACTCTAACCCTCTGGGACTTTAGTCAAAAACGGTGTTTGACAAGGACTCCAACC